TTTAAACCAGATAGATGGATCTGCTCCTAAAAGGCAGGGCCTGCAGGAGCCACCTGGAGCTTAAACCATGTACCAGAGCTAAGAGCTGTTGGTTCAGAACAGCTGTCTGCTACGGGGAGTGATCATCCCTTTGAACTTACGATACAAGGTACTGGAGCACTTACACCAGGGCCATCAAGGGGTGGTGAGGATAAGAGAGCTTGCCAGGAGCTATTTCTGGTGGCCAGATTGGGATGCCGAGATCGTGTGCTAGGCTTGTACAAAAATCAGGTACACTGCCATTGTCACCGTTACACCCCTGGGAATGGCTTAAAGTGCCATTGCAAAGTGTCCACAATGATTTTGCCAGCCCCTTGGGGGTCAAATGCCACTAGTGGTAGATGATCTTCATTTTAAGTAGCTAGAAGTGTTAGTAATGAAATCCACTTCTGTAAACCTGATCATCAAGAAACTGGATGAAATGTTCGTCTGGTTCAGTAATCCTGATCAAGTTGTCAGTGACAATGGTCCTCAGTTCCTTGTGCAGGAATTTACCGATCATGTGGAATGAAACAGCATTCGAAACATTAAGTTGGTGTCCTATCATTCCTCAACCAATAGTCTTGTGGAAAGACTTGTGCAATCTCTAGAGAACTCATTGAAAGCATGAGAGGGAGTGGGGTCACTAGTTCATTGAGTCAACAACTTCCTGGCCATGTACTGAAACATACCACAAGGCACTACCCAGAACCCGCCACAACCCGGGAGGAAGTATGAACCACATTCAACCTGTTGAAGAAATGCATGAGATTGTCGAGAAGAATTGGTTAGTCCAGATGTCCCAAAGGGAAAGACTCCAAGAGGTGCTCTTTTCTTTGGCGCCCAAGTACTGGCCCGGAAGTACAAGACGGTTAACAAGTGAGTACCTGCCACTGCCATGGCATAGGCAGTTGGGATGAGGTTGCATGGCAAAGGCATGCTGCCCAGCTGTTCAGGGTTCACCCCCCAAGTGTTGGAACCACCCATCATCTACAGGCCCTGCCTTATTTCATGAAGGTAGCACAATGTCCCCAGACCAATCCAACATAGGCAATGGTGATGTTGCCCCTTTGGAAGAGACTGTCTGTCCATCCCTCTTTACCTAAGGTTCCCAGTGTGCCAAATGGGAATCCTGCACTGAAAGTATGAAGACAGGTTTCTGTCATAAGACTTTCTCTCATTGATAGCATTTCCCGTTTGTTGTATCTAATGGAAACCTGTATCTTGTCCTTGTAAATAGTTTTGCTCTTTGTACATATATGTTATATCTGGAACTATGAAATTTCTATGATTATTTGTTTAAGGAAAATTATAAAGTAACCAGAGGGGTGTTATGTATATTTTATATATTATGTATTATAGTTAGTGTATATTGTTAGGACAGTGTCTCTTTAAGAGATGAGTTACATGAACCAGGTTTCAAACTCGTTAACAAAAACAGAAATTGCTGGAGAAACTCAGCATGTCTGGCAATATCTGTGAGAAGACAGCAGAGTTAATGTTTCGAGTCCAGTGACTCTTCATCAGAACAAATACTTATCAAGACTTGTTTCAGATTTCACAGTACGCACAGCTTCAGAATAAATACTGGGTTGCAGCACACAACAAGTTTGTATGTTCTTTATTTCTAACTGGAACCTAGTAACTGCTCAGTATAGAATAAAAACTAGATACAATATCTCCAATAAGAGATAACAAGGTGTAGAGCTGGATGAACACAGCAGGCCAAGCAACATCAGAGGAGCAAGTTGGCTGACGTTTCGGGCCTTCTTCAGAAATGGAGGAGGAGAAGAGGGTTCTGAAATAAATAGGGAGAGACGGGGAGGCGGATAGAAGATGGATAAAGGAGAAGATAGGTGGAGAGGAGACAGACAGGTCAAAGAGGCGGGGATGGAGCCAGTAAAGGTGAGTGTAGGTGGGGAGTTAGGGAGAGGATAGGTCAGTCCAGGGAGGACGGACAGATCAAGGGGTCGGGATGAGGTGAGTAGGTAAGAGATGGGGGTGGGGCTTGAGGTGGGAGGAGGGGATAGGTGGGAGGAAGGACAGGTTAGGGAAGCGGGTATGAGCTGGGCTGGTTTTGGGATGCGGTCGGGGGAGGAGAGATTTTTGAAGCTTGTGAAGTCCACATTGATACCATTGGGCTGCAGGGTTCCCAAGCGAAATATGAGGTGCAACCTGTTCCTGCAACCTTCGGGTGGCATCGTTGTGGCACTGCAGGAGGCCCAGGATGGACATGTCGTCTAAGGAATGGGAGGGGGAGTTGAAATGGTTCGCAACTGGGAGGTGCAGTTGTTTAGTGCGAACCAAGCGTAGGTGTTCCACAAAGCGGTCCCCAAGCCTCCACTTGGTTTCCCCAATGTAGAGAAGGCCACAACAGGAACAGCGTATACAGTATACCACGTTAGCAGATGTGCAGGTGAACATCTGCTTGATGTGGAAGGTCTTCTTGGGGTCTGGGATGGGGTGAGGGGGGAGGTGTAGGACCAGGCATAGCACTTCCTGCCTTTGGAGCTGGAGGGGAGTGTGGAGCGGACAAGGGAGTCATGGAGATTGTGGTCCCTCCAGAAAGCAGATAAGGGTGGGGAGGGAAAAATGTCTTTGGTGGTGGGGTTGGATTGCAGATGGCGGAAATGTCGGAGGATGATGCGGAGGTTGGTGGTGGGGTGGTACGTGAGGACGAGGGGGATTCTGTTTTGGTTGTTATTGCAGGGAGGGGGTGTGAGGGATGAATTGCGGGAAATGCGGGAGACACGGTCGAGGGCATTCTCGACCACTGAGGGGGGGAAGTTGCGGTCCTTGAAAAATGAGGACATCTCAGATGTTCGGGAGTGTAATGCCTCATCCTGGGAGCAGATGCGGCGGAGGTAAAGGAATTGGGA